AAAAAAGAGAAAGTGTTAGACAGACAGCAAGGCTGTGGTTGAAAACGCATACCACTATTCCAGGGAATGCAGTAGCCGGAGCAGCCAAAGTTAAGCATTTATATGCCATTTTTGTTAGCAGCTAAAAACCTCACCTTTTTACTTTCCGTTCCTGCATCGCGCTTCTTGTCGTCCTTCTGCTTCTCCTTTTCCTTCTAAATGTGAACAAATAACCAGGTAATTTCTAATCAATTATAAATACTCTCATAAGTGTACAACTTACCTTTGCGTCTTTAGCTTCTTTATCCGAGAGCTCTCCATCTGTAAATACGGAGCTCATTATTTTTAAAAGTTATCAAAAAGTCTACAGAAATCTGCATCCGGTTATGGTAATGACAGCTAGTCGAACAACAAGAATGAAGAAAAATTTGAGTATTTCGCGCTGCACAGACCCACCTTCTGCTAACGTCACAAGCTGTGGATGATCCGAATCAATCCACGCTAAGATTTTCAGACGAACTTCTTCATCTTTCTTCATATCATCTTCGTCAGCCGGCAATTCGTCTTCTTTTAATTTAAGCTCGGGCTTTCCTGGAAAACAATAGAATCGTTTATCACAACAACCACGGCCAACAGCTCAGTTCGAAAACAACAGCTCTTTTAAGATTCTCGCATGCGTGATGCTCAGCATATTACGAAACAAACACCCATGTTTAGAGCTATGGAAATGAAACCGCTTTACCCTAGGTCTGGTTCGCACTCGAAAAAAAAACCGAAATATTGGAAGTTAACACTTCTGGATTCAGAAGCAATCGTGAAACGAAGCCACCTAATTACTGCAGTGACATTATGTATTTTTTCTTCTAGAAAGATGCTTGGTATTAGCGAAAATCCTTGTAATTCTCTCATTCCTAACTATGTAACACAGTTTTTGACATAGTTGTGGGACGAAAACACCTGGAGAGCGAAAACAAAAGCATTATGCTAGACATATGGCTCACAGATCAGGATTCTGAACATCTGCTGCTCAAGCAGATCCAAGAAACAAGGCATGGAAAACAAGATGTGGAACACAAAGGAAAACAAATACTTGGGAAAACGTGGGAGTTTCTGTGGGAAAAAGGCACAATGAAGAAATCCCTCTATATTTTGCAGATAAACGAGCTTAAGCAATGGTATGAGTGAGCCAAAGGAAAGGTAGTCGGGCTAGATCACCAGCGGAGCTTGAAGGTAGAGCTCACTGTGAAAAGACACCGCATTACAAATTGAGGTAGAGGGTGGTCACCAATGCAGAAGTGAGGAGAACTAAGACAAAGGTCCAGGAATAGGACTCTTTTTTGCCCTTTATCTTGCGCGTTAGGAGAATTTCATCAGTGCTCATCTCACGAACGCTAACGTTCTCCCTACTAACTCGGTTAGAGCCAGACGACGAGGGGTCAGCCTACCGGTGTCGGCGCGATTGCGCCGTGCTAGGCCGCCGGGGGCATTTCTGGCTGCGGAGCGCGCATCGTCCCGCACTCTCAGAGCCCTGCCTCCAAAGGTGCGGACGATGTGATGTGATGGACGATTTCAGCCTCCGACCTCATCATGAATCCTCCTTTATTCCGCTCACTGTCGTAAAAGGGTCCAAATTGAAAAAAAAACTTCTAGTACAGTTTCACAATTTCGTGCGCCTGTGCGAAAGTTTTGTTCACAACCCAGCATTCTTGTGAAACATTCACAATGCGAACTGCGGTGCTAAAACAGACTATTAACAAAAAAGACAAGTCAAGACTTCCGGTAAGTGTTAAAAAACAAAATAAAATAACTGCAACTTAATTCGGGGTCATACGCAACCTCATTCAAATCGTATTTCTATTCATATCAAGTAGGAGGGATTATTTACAACATATTCAGCGGGGGAGAACATTTTCCAGTTTTCCCAAGCAACAGCAAAGCAAAGCGAGAGCGAAAATGTAACATGATATCGACACGTCCCGCCACTGTCACACTCATTTTCAATACTTCTGCAAGCTGGAGAATAAGATAGCTCCGTCGCGTCACAATATTATGTTAAGGACAGGATAGTTAGAATGACGAGGCAAAGGTGGTACTAAACAGATGTCTTTTGTCTGCGATTGGGAACCTTTTCTGTCGATCCACTTCTCTTCTTCTAGACATCCAGTAACTACGCCTTCTCTACAGCAAGCTCAACCCTCAGTGGGGCATCGCCGAAGGAAATTATTGATAACCATTCATAAAGTAACACAGTAACAGACATCTCATACAAAATTGCTTCTGGTCAACGATTTAAGGGGCGAGATTCTTGCAAACACGCCGATATGTAGTTGCCTTATTTCTCAGCGGCACTATCAATACCGATTTGAGAATCACTCCTCATCATTTCAATATGCAAAACGAGGCGATAAACTCAATAAAGTGTCCTTTAATATCATAGGACCCGGAGCTTTCCACTCTGAGAAAATCAAACAATAACAAGTCGTTAATTAATAAGTCGTTATTAGATTAAGAGACGACTAGGAAGTTGTATGACTTCAAAATTCGGAATATAGTGAGTTGTTAAAAAAAGCCTGTGTGCGCAAGTCTTCATATATTCGATAAATTGTCGAGAAAGGCAGAGTATCTATCATCTTAAGCCCACACGTCACAAACTTAACTCCTAGAAAATTTCTCTTACCAGTATCTTTCCGATGCTGGATGGCCCATGCACGAAGCTCTTCACGAACTTTTGGTTCCGCCTAAAATTGTTTATTATTAGGATTACAACCATAGTACTGACACATTACATTCGCAGATAGTAGCCTCGCAAACTTACCTTTACCACCAATTTCTTTTCACCGATTTGGAAATCGTTCAACACTCTTAATGCTCTCAGTGTTCCTTGTGGATCCTCAAAGTCACAGAAACCAAACGCTTGAAATTTTCCATTCGAACCTTGGATTCGCTTCCAAGTTGTAACCGTGCCGCATTCCTGTAAACCATTTTCATAGAAACCATGATTTTAGCACATTGACTAAACAATGGGATAAGAGAACAACAGTACCTGAAGCATTTGCTGCATAAATTCATTACTGCATTTCTCAGAGATATTTCCTACGAACACAGTTGTCACCGGCTTTTGTTTCACTGGGGCCATTGGCATCTAAAAAACAATCGAGACCACCTACGAAAACACTGTATGATCATTCAACAGCGTTCAACTAACTAACCTGCTGCGGTATAAATCCACGACCTATTGGATTGAAAAATATTTGTGGTTGTGGGGGAAAACCTGAAGAAATGAACTTCTGAGAAAGTTGGATGGATAGGAAACATTTCATCAAAAACATAGCTTACACGCTTACCGGGGAAAAATACATTTTCCAACCCAAGAATAGGAAGCATTCCCGAGTTTAACCAGCAGTATACGATTACTCAGATGGGGGAATTGGGTTGGAGAGAATGCGGGGAGGCGGGCTCTCACTCAACGGATGTCTTCAGTGACGTATGGGATGGGACAAAGTAGCGAAAATCGATGCTTCCGAGCATTTCACGCAAGCAACGCCTACAACCCAAGAAACATGACATTTGCCTGGCGTAGGCTGCCACCGAGTCCAAGCAGATCAAGCTGTTTGACGCTGAACCCTTCTCCTCAGCCTTTCTCCACTCAGTCGTGTATAAAGTCGAGCCAGAGCAGTCTTTCTTATGGGTTGGGATTTTTGGAGCTCAAGGATCTGAATACTAGCTCATTTCCAGTCGAGTGCGCTCGACTGATTGGATGGCGACAACTGCCTAGTCGCATACTGACGGAGAAGAGAAGGCAAATTGCGTTTCCAATGACTGACATAAAAACCAAAGAAGTGAGAGCATCATTAAAAAATAATCTTTCGGTATTACTTACCAAATGGTGGCATAGGAAATCGCTGAGGAAATGCCATAGCTATCACAGTAGTCAGCGACTACCAAGACTCTGAAATCGGTTTTTGAGTACCAGCAGCAATAAGAGAAGTCAAATACAACGTGTCATTAATCTTTAACAAAATGCAAGCCGTGGCTATGAAGGCATTGAAAGTTTGAAAGAACGGACGTTATCGCTTCCAAGAGTTGATTTATCAAAGGAGGCAAAAAAGTGAAGGAGGATCTTGGAATTCGAAACATTCAAGACACAAAGGAAGGAGGTAAAACAAGTGTAAACTGAAGACTGTTGTTCTCCTGACCTAGTGAAGCAGAGCTTATATGCAAGCAAACTTATAGAACTGGTATTTGATTAATGGCGCTGTTATGACGAATGAAAGTGACACTTGAAAGTGTGCGAAGCGGATCGAAAATGATTAACAACGTAACCTTCATGAATTCAAAATACCAGAGGCCCACAAATCCTTCCCATGGATTAAGATATTTTTGCCTCTAGAATTCAAGTTCAATTCAGTTCAAATTTCCTGCAAAATCCTTGAAATCACACTCATTGAAAATTGCGCGTACTTCTTAGCAAAAACACTTCCATTATTCCTCCGTTATTTTTCTACTTATTTTGTACAGTGTTATTTTGTTAGTGTTATTGTGCGGCGGTTGACGTAAGCAAACCAGCCCTTTTGCGCTTCGGCTGGGACCGTATGCTGAATGTTGGGAGGGATGGAGTCCCCGACGGTGGACGGACCACTTCAACTCGGTCCTTAGAACCGCCACAATTTGGTGCTTACCTCAGAACTAAGCCTTAAAGAGAGGACGGGTCCGTCCCCTCTCCAAGGCTTAGTCCTGGGGTGAGCAAACCAGCCCTTCTGGCGGAGCTGCTGGACCAGCTGCACCACTTGCGTCAGTACTCTCCTATCGTACCAACCGAGTTGAAGTAAACCGTCGACCGTGGGGACCCCATCCCCTCCCCAACATTCAGCATACGGTCCCAGCCGAAACGCCAAAAGGGCTGGTTTGCTTACCTCGGTGCGTTCACGAGGACAGAAAGCGACTTTTTCACATTTCCGTCACGACTTATAACAATTTTTTGCTGCGGGAACTACATGGGGTTGTATGCTACCCTTCCCCGAAGCTAGGTGACGCAAAGTTTCCTTTAAATTTATTTGCTTTGAATGATGTAGTTTCTTCATTTTCAATGCATGTTTACTTTAACCTACATACATACATTTTATGTAGGCCTTTTATCAGGGTAATCCCAGTTGGGAAGACAGAGAAAATTTAAAGGAATTTTCGTTCCCCTAACCTCG